AGCATTTGCTGTGTGGGCCTCCCTCTCCCTTCTCCATTGTATATGTGTCCCTCTCTTTTTGTTCAGGCTACTTTCTGTGTCATTTCTTTCACTCTACTTTCTAGTCACCAGTTCTCTCATCACAATGCATTCATTCTTTCAACAATTAATTTTTGAATGTTTGTCTCCCTCTGTATTCCATAGTGTCTCGCTGCTCACTTGTCTATGCAATCTCATCCTCTGTGCCTTTGAACATTGTGTAGCTATGAGACATTCTGCTCTGATCATTTCATCCCCCAAACACCTGGGCAGTTGGAACCCCTTGTTTGTGGTCCCTTTGCCTGTCACTAATGTTTGTTTGATTGTGAGTTTTACCCTGTACTGAGCGGATCTGTGAAATCCTGAGCGTCTGAATGCCATTACTTTGCTTCTTACATTTGCCTCATCCAAAGCCAGGGGCTTGGCTGCCGCTCGCTTTGCCAGAGTAGGTAAAAATCCTTTCCGGTTTGAGAGCTTGTCCTGGGGGTCTCAGCTAGACCTTCTGACCTGACTTATTGCAGTATCAAGCCCATCGCCTGTCCTCAGGAGAACCCAGCCCTCTTGTGTGTTCAGCACAGATTTCTCTGTGTTTGAATGTATGGGTAAATAAAAATTGTGGGTATTTTATAACTGCTTCCTTGGCTATTTCCTCTATTTCTGGTGAGCTCAGCAACAAAAATTCTGTTTTATTAAGTGCCCTGCCATAGGGCCATGGAGGAGCAGTCCTGCATCCCACAGAGCATGTGGGCTGCCCCTCTCATGGAAGCAGGAATGCCTCCACCCCTTAGCCTCCTCCTCAGGGTACCCTCTGGAGCCCACCTTCCTGAGCCCGACAAAGCATAACTATCTCCACCTGCTAGCCCCATCTTCCCTCCCCTCCATTGCAGTTTTATGACTTTTCCCAGTGATTATCTTTTTACCTTTAAAAGCTCTCCGCAGCTTTTTTTTTTTTTTTTTAAATCTATGTTTTATTTTTCTCTTCTCCCAGCTAGAGAAGATAGAGAAATCGGGATAGACACATAGGGCACTTCCTTCGGTTCACATCCTACCACATCCCACCTAGTTTCCCAATCGGTTCATTCTCCCATCTCTTCCCTACCCTTCTGTGTGTGCATTCTGTTCACTAACTCCAGTCCCCCAGGGGGTTTCAATTTGAATACTTGGATTGTTCTTACTGCTAGAACTTTCCCATGGGTTCTCCAGCTAGTTTTTAGTTAACTGAAATTCATTTGATATTTTCTCTACAGAGGATCCAAGCATTTGCATGTTCAAAAATATTTTCAGTTACCAAAATACTTGAGTAATAGTTTAGTTGATACAAGCTGAGAGTGCTTTTTATGAAATATTTGAAATGCTTGCTACAGATTTTGGATTGTTCATGGGGAAGAGGATTAGGGAATATTTGACATGAAGGAGATGTCATGGGGGTGAAACCCAAGTCTAAACATGAAATTCATTTGTGTTTCATATGTACCTTACACACATAGCCTGAAGGCAATTTCACACAGTATTTTCAGTGTGCCTCTATGTCTTGACTTCAATCTGTCACATGAAGTCAGGCATGGAATTTTCTACTTGTACTGTCATGTTGTAGCCCAAGAAATTGTAGATTTTTGAGCATTCCAGATTTTAGTTTCCCAGCTTGGAGATGTTAGGTTTATCTGAACTTCTTGGGTCACATGATCTTTCCTTCTGTCGCTAGCCCATCTTCTGCCACCTCAGGGCAATTGATGCTGCAGAGATGCCTGTGAGCAGCCTGGTGTCTTTTCCCGTTACCTGAAACTTGATCTACTTTCCTGGCTGCCCAAAGGGTTTTTTCCTTTATCTTTGAAATATAATAACTTTATCCGGACATGCATCTTGGTTAGTGGCTCTTTGCCATTTGTCTTGGAACAAGACTTTGCCTTTCAATCTGAAACCAAAATCTTTCATTTCAGGACAGGGTCTTGAATTCATATTCAAATACCCTTTGTCTCGCATTATGTCAGTTCTCTTCTTCAGGAGGCCTGTGCTTCTGGCCCAGCGTGGGCTCTTTGTCCACCAGATTGCCTCCCAGGGCTGTTGTGATAATCAGGATGATAGGAATTAGGGTGCTTTGTCATTTGTAAAGAATAACAGGAATGCAAACTGTCAATCTAGAAGAAATAAAAGCAGCAGACAGTCATGGAATCCATCCCACTTGTCCATTAGTGACTATGAATCTCAGCCAGAGTGACTACTAGGCTTGGGCACACAGGACAAAGCTGGTGGCCAAGCCTGGGTCAGAGGCCACATTTCTAAAATCTCTTGTCTGTTCATCCCCCTTTTCTTTGGTTTTAAACTGAATGCAACGTGAGCACTACCCTGACTCTCAACACCATAGTTTTGTCTGAACTTCATATGAATGAAATCACACATTATTTCATTTTCTGATATGCAGTAATATATCTCTTCTGATGTTGATGGGCATTTGGGTGGTATTTCACATTGGAACTATGACAGATATTGCTGGAATGAACATTCTTGACAACACCTTTGAGGGACACATACACAGATTTCCTTTCAGGACATATTTAGTATTAGGATTGCTAGATATTAGAATGCTCGTCTTCAATTTCAATGAACACATCCGAAGAGCTTTCCAAAGTAGTTGAACTAAATTAGAATTTTTCCATCAGTACACAAGAGTTTCTTTTGGGCCACATCCTTGTCAATACTTGGAATTCTCCATAGTTTTCATTCTAGCCCTTCTGGAGGTGTGCAGAGATAATTGGATGGATGGATGGATGGTTGTGATCTTATCTTTCTCTGATGACAAAACAGATTGGCTGCAGTGTCATGTTTACTGGCCATTTAAATATCCTCTTTTATGAAATATCTGTTCGTTTGCCCATTTTTCTCCTTGGTCTTATCTTATTTTAACTACATGAGGTTTTGTTTGTTTTGGTTATTTAATGTATTCTAGATAAAAACGTCTTGCTGGTTATATGTCATGAATGTTTTCCCCAGGTACTGAAATATCTTTTCTTATTTTCCTGCAGTTGTCTTTTGATAAACAGACGCTACTAATTTTAATATATCATAATTCATTAATATTTCCTTTGTGTACCTTTTGCATTGCTGAAGAAATCTCTACCAAACCGCATTCCCCTTCTCTTTGATGATTAGAACAGTTTTAAAAGAAAGCACTATCTATCAAGTGCATAAGAAATAGTTCACACCACCGTCTTCTTCACTCCTGATGTGGCTGTTCTCCTACCCCCAGGCGTTCCTACCTCATCACTCCCCCTCCTGGTCAGCCCTGCCTCCTGAACACACGTCCTTGCATAGATCTAACCCTCTCAAAGCAATGTCAGGTCAATGAGCAAGGAATATAGAATTTAATGAGGGGCAGCCAGCGTTTTCAGGATCAGCTGTGCGGCATCACTGCTCTCGCCCTTTGCCATTCCACGGCGAGTTGAACAACAGTGGGAACATGTAGACTCTACGGAACTCACACACCCAATATGCCACTTGAATCATCAGCTTCTTGAGGGGCACAAGTCGGTTTCTTCATACCTAAAACATGAGGAAGCTGTGGGCTTAGCTCATTTTAAAAGCACCCTGCAGCTCTGTGTTCCTTCTTTTTCTCAGCTTTATTTTTTGTCTCCTAGACCTCTAAACATTCTTCGACTGTAGACAGAATGGTTGCGTGTCTATTCTGTGCAGATGTTTGAGATCTCTTGGAGCAGCAGCCGTGCAAACAGCACAGAACAGCCTTGGCCAGCCCCGAAGAGACAGCGCCGTGCCATACAGGAGGCCTCCTCCACCTTCATCTCACCCCAAGGGCACCAGCTGCTCCTCTGCCCACGCCCTGGCACTGAGATTGCCCTGTTGCAGCTCAGGCCTTGAAACCATGATTGGGTTTGGCATCCAGGAAGCCCTGTGCCTTTAAAAGACCCTTAAGTACATCTGTTTCCAATTGTCAGGCCACGAGGCAAGGATTTGGGTGCAAGTAGTTTATCTGGGAAGCAATCCCAGGAAATACTGTGAGAGGGCGGTCCCAGGGAAGGAGCCAAGAAAGGTGCCCTGATGGCTAGGTGGCTGTCGTGGGCCACAGGGACCAGCCTGCTAGGACCCTTTGAATGAATGTGCAGAGTCTGCCTCAGAGTCATCTCCCCAAGCCGGTGGGGCTCATCCAGCTCCCACTGTGACGGCTGACAGTTCTGTCCACACACACATCCTTCGGGGGTGTCGGAGGAGGACTCCGGCAACGTCTCTCCCTCAGGCTTTTGATAAGTGTCGCATTCTAAGCACTTTTTCATATCCAAGTTTCTTATTAATACAGTTGGGAGTCTGTGTGGGTTTTTTTCACGCCTATTCCTATTATAAGGGGAATTCTTTTACTTGTACATTGATGAACATTGCGACATTCTCTAAGTGAAATACTGTAAGACATTATGCACAGCTGGGCTCGAAACCTGGCAGGCAGGATGGAATGCTGCTGTAGTGACCCTGTGTGGGCTGAGCCCTTCACTGCCCTTTGAGATCGCATCCCCAGGCCTCACGAAGGGTGCGCACCCTCTGCGCTGCAGAGCTGCCTCTCCCAACAAGCCTTCTCCCATGGGGTTGGAATAGACCCGTGTCTTGTACACCTCCTTACAGCCATGTCCCTCCCTCCTTGGCTACATGAATGGAACGGAGCTGTTTGTTAGTAGCTCCCAGGAACAGGGACTCTTATCCTGTCTCCTCCTAGGCCTTTAGTGCTAGATGCTGGATGAGCTCAATTCAGTCCTATAAGATAAGCCCTCTGAAGAGCCGATGCATGGACTTCATTGTTCCAAATGAACCAAGTGAAATGGTGTCCTTGTCATGCGGGCATCCGGACTCTGCACCCCACCCTCCCTCTTCCTGCACCTCCAATTGCAAAGCTAAACACAAATCCCCTCCCAGCCCCTGTCCCATCTGTGACCGTGTGCCCACGAGTGTTCTTGGCAGTCATGGTTCCTTCCCTTGTCCTGCAGCATCTGATGTGTGCTGGACTGTGGTGCCTGGTAGAAGGAGATACGTCCTGCAAGACCAAGCTGGACCCTCCCCTGGATGGCACCGAGTGTGGGGCAGACAAGGTAACCCCCAGGCTCCCGCCACCCGTGCAGCACCAGACACCACCTAGAGGCCCTGGGCACCTGTCCTGCTGAAAGCCAGCATGCACCCTGCTCAGAAGCCCTGAACATCCCCAGGGCCCTGTGGAAATGGGCATGGAGCCCGTGGGACTCCATGACACGGGGACCTTCCGCACCTATTTTTTTATAAAGATACAAGAATCATTTTTTAATTAATTCAGTTTACTGGTACATTTGAGGTATACATAATGATCACATTCATTATGGGGAATTAGATACAAGAATCATTCTTTTTTTGTTGGCGGAACTGGGGATTGAACTCAGGCCCTTGTGCTTGCCAAGCAAGCGCTTATTCCATTGAGCCATCTCCCCGGCCCCAAGAATCATTCTTAATGTGTCAGATTAACTTCTTTTGTCACATGAACAAATTTAAATAAAGGAAGAAATTTTAATCAGTACATTTTAAATGAAAAACCAATTCTGCATGCAATGCACAAAAGGCTATCATAAAATGAATCTAAGGAGAAGTGTTTTGTCCAATTCTAACTAGATGTCAGGACAGCGAGCCATCCTTGCAGATGGGAGCGATCCTAAGAGTTGGCAAGGGGAGCTTGTCGGGACAGCAGCCACACAGCATTCTCCACAGTCCTCTTGCGCACCATGAAGGAGTTAAGAAGGAAAGGAGATTCTAGCTGGCTCCTGATTGCAAACCCCTGTGCCCCACACTTGGGAAGATCCAGAGGTTGGCTTCCTTTTATCCTCACAAAAAGCAGAGGTCACCCAGAAGGAGCTCCCTGGGTCACGTCTAGGCGCCAAGCCCCTCCCTGCAGCTCTGAGCTCCAGACCTGGAAACACTGTCACTTGACCGTGAGCAGTTCGTAGAAACTTCAGGTTCTCCACCAGTCACGTGGATTCATCCTTCTGCTGAGAATTTTGAAAACCCCAACAGGGCATATTCCACATGGAGGTTTAGGGTAAAATCCAGAGCCCAGTGGGCCGTAGGTGTCAGGAAGTAAGGAATGTCAGCAGATTAGCAAATAGACCTATCTCCAAATAATCTACTTTTAGGCAAATCTTATTTTAAAATGGCAGAGGGAATCGGCCCTTGGGACAGAGCAGCTCCGCTCAGTGCCCCGGCCGCCCCGCTGTGTTGCAGTGGTGTCGAGGAGGGGAGTGTGTGGGCAAGACTCCCATCCCGGAACACGTGGACGGAGACTGGAGCCCGTGGGGCAGCTGGAGCATGTGCAGCCGGACGTGTGGCACGGGAGCGCGCTTCCGGCAGAGGAAATGCGACAACCCCCCGTAAGTTCCCCTGACCGGGCCTTCTCCAGGGTGCCTCGGTTGGCCTTACCCCCCTACAACTCTTGCTGCATTACCCTGGGAATGACAGCCTAAGAAAACTGGGGTGGGAGCGAGGTGTTGGAGGAGGCAGGGGCCTTGTGTGTGTGGAACGGCTTCTCAGCTCCACTGCAGCTCTCTGTGAACAGTTAAGACCGTGGAGTCCTGTGGAGAGCTGGCCCTTTCCTTCCTTGCTTGGGCTGCGGTAGAAAGAGTTCCTGAGACAGCTGGACTGCAGTCTGTCTCGCTGCCTCTTGCTTTGCTCAGTCCAGGGCATTCTCAGGAAGCTCGTTGGCCTTCCGGAAAGTGTGGCCAACCTTCCAGTTGGCCGTTGACAGATTCGGGAGCAGCCTGCTTGCTCATGAGTCACGAAGGGTGAGGGTCAGCTGTCCTATTCAAGTATTTTTCTCAGGTCTTCCTAGAACTATTTGACAGAAAATAATAGAGTAGTTTTAAAGTTTCTGGGTTTTGTTGTTTGCTTGTTTACTATTACCCCAAGATACTTCCTAGTCAGCCTTGTGCATCTGCTCCAGAAAACCCTGGGAAAGATTTACTGCTTGATTATAATTCCATCACCACAGGTTTCTCCTCTTGAGGCAGTTTATATATTTTTGGAGTGGATTATGTTCTTGGTTATCACAAGTTGTATCATGTCAACTTGGAAAAGGAGCAAGTAGTCTCTTGTGACTGAAAAAGAAATACTTCATTTTCATAATTAAGGCATATCAAATAGCTCTCCTGTTTAAAAATCCCCATGCTCAGGCCGTACCATTGAAATCACAAGCACTGGGGATGGGCCACAGACATTGGATGTTTTAAATCCGGGTGATTGCAGTGCCCAGCCACTGCCAGGGCATCTGGATTGCAGGAAACTGGCCTCCTGACTTAATGTTGTAAATGCCATTTTTTCCAGGAGCGCTACCTGGACTGGCATCATATGTGTTTTTCTAGAGCATAATAGGACAGAGTGCCTGGAACGTAGCAGGTGTCTAATCTGTTAGGAGTGACTTCTGAACTGAAAGCATCGAGGTTTTGGTGATTAGAAGCCCCAGTTGGCTAAGTGGTAGGGAATTCATACGGGTGCTTTCAGTTGATATTGCTCTGTGTTGAAGTTAAGAGCTTCAGTTCTCGCCCCCAAAAGACAGCTGTGGTTTTGGATCCATGGTGCTGCGATGTAGGCCTGATTCTGTTGTTTGTGCTTGTCACAAGACCTCAAGGAAGACCCTTCTGTTCCCTGTTCTCAGTTTCCCCATGAGGGGGAGCTGGCAGGTTTTGGTGGGAGGAACTGAACATGAAAGCCAGAACAGACAAGGGTTTGATCCTGGTGCTGCTCCTACGGCTCCATCTTGTGAACGCTGGGGCAATCCACTGGGGTGTGTGGATCAAAACCCTTGATCTTTGTTTTGTAAACAGCCCTTCTTATCAGCACTAACAGGAGGGTGAGCATGACACGCCCTGTCCTGTCCCATCCACCCCACAGAGCTATTCTGCAGCTCAAAGGAGGGTGGAATTTGCAAGAGTCATGGCTGTTCCGTGTCTGTGATCAGAGCTGTGGGCCTTCCTGAGGCCTGGCCTCCTTTGGCATATGATGTATGTCATCCTTCAGCAGGTGGCCCTTGACACTTCATAAACAGTAGAATAGGGGATGTCCAGAAGAGCCTCTAATGACCCCAGCAGCCCAGTGTCCAAAGACTGTGAACAATTGGATGGTGTTTTGGTGCAGATGCCAGTAGTAGGAATAAGTTGTTCTCAGTATTGGAAAATTGCATTTGGTACAAGTTTTAAGAGTCCCAGCATTATCTATTTGTCTGGGGATTACATTGGCAACTATCCCCACCTCCAGCCCCAGCCCCAGCCCCAGCCCCAGCCCTGGCCCCAGGTGGAAGCCTGCAGAGCAGAAGGATTTCAAGCAGGCTTGTGGCTTCATGGTTCAGACCTGGACCATCCCAGCTGCTTCCAGCCCTGCCCATCTGCTATTGCTCTGAGATGTGGTAGGGGCATCTGGGAAGCTTCTGAAGACCCCATATTCCTAAGAGCTGTGTTAACATACCCACCCTGGCTGAGCCTGCCACGGGTTTCATCTGTTGGGATTCCCTTCTCATGCCCCAGGTCCAACACTTCCCAGAGGGAGGCTTATCCGAAAGTCACAAAGCTGTGAAAATTGTCATTTCTCATCTTTACTAGTTACTCTATCTTAGTGGTCATCAGCTTTATCTCTTGTTGCTTCCAGAATGTCACCATTGAGGAATAAGGGCATTGGGTGTGGAGACTGCCACACAGCGGCACCTGAGGCTTTGTGGGTGTCCACACGTGGGATTATGTGAGACCCGAATGCATCTTCATGTTCTAGTGTCTGAGGCCTAGCACTGCCCATGGGGCTGGGTGGTGAGAGGAGTACTAGAGAGAAAAAGGCTGGTTCCTTCCAGGCCAGTGCTTCTTTCTGCTGATGCCCGCGCAGCGTGATGCCTTTAGTAAGGCTTAAGGCACGCCACGTCTGAGTTCTGCTGGGTGCGTCCTTACAGTGACAAGCACAGACGCACGAGTCCTGCCCACTGGCTTCTCTTGGTTTTTTCTGATACTTCGAACCAGACTTTTACTGTAGCGTGCTCTCCCTCCCAGCCCACTTCCACCCCCTGCGCAGTCCTGCCTCCGTCCATGGCTTGGCTTCCGTGTAGAACCCCTGTGTCTGTCTTCCCTTTGTCCCCTCTCCTTCTCCTTCCTCCGTGTCTGATCAAGATAGAAATGGCAAATGAAGGGGCCACTCAACACCATGCACCACATTTCCTTCAGTGCATTTTGTGCAACTGTGTTGGAGGTTTTTAAACCTCCCATACAGATGCAAAACCGAATGGTGGACAGGTGACTTACCTGAGGTGGCACAGCAAGGCAGGGACAGGCTGGGTGTGGAGCTCGGTTCTGGTAACCACAAGTCCGAAATCAAGATGCAGCAAGGCTCCTTCATGAAATATGGAAGGAAAATTTGTCCACGCCTCTCCTGGCTTCTGGGGGCTCCAGTGTCTTTGGGGTACCCCTACACCAGCCTCCGTTCTCCTGTGGTCTCTTCTCAGGTCTTCCACACTGATCACCACTCTTAGAGCCCACCTGTGCAAGGTGATCTCCTCTCAAGATCTCTCATCAGATCTCCTATGATTTTTGCTAAATAAAGTTACATTGTCATGTTGCAGATGGACTTGTCATTGGTAGGGGACAGAGGAGCCACCCTTCAACACATGCCTTCCTCAGAGCTGCCAGGTCCTCTCTGGTGAGGTCCCCTAGTCACCCAGGCCTCCCGTTCCTGGCAGTGCTATAACTCACAGTCACAAGGGCTCAGCATTGTCTCAAGAATAAACTGTGATGACTGCACAGCTGCCTTTTGTGTTTGAAACAGAAAGAACACAGTGCTTTTCCCTGGGGAGCATCCCACTAGGTTTTTGGGTTTGTTTTTTTTTTTTTTCTTATCAATTTGGTACAGGTCTCATGATGCAGGTGAGACTTGTAGTATCCTCCTGTTTCAGCCTCCCCAGCAATGGGATTACAGGTGTGTGCCACCATGCTGGGTTTTGGTGGCCATCTCAGCACTCCTGGGGTAGGGCCAGCACTGCATGTGGTGCCCGGGATCAAACCTGGTCCCTGTGCTTGCCAGGCAGGCGCTTAGAGAGCTAAGCTATCTCCCCAGCCCACCCCTAGGTTTTGCCCCACACATAGCCAGACCAGGTGAATGGTAAGGTAGAGCACAGCATGGGCAGGTGCCTTAGCAGCTGTCTCCAGCTGTCTCCAGCTTCCTGCAGAGGTGTGGGGTCCTGGTGGCATCCAGCCTGCTTTGCACAATGGCCTGAGGCGGTGATTGTTACAGAGCACAGCTGATTGTGACTCAGAGCCAAGTTCTGACCAATACAAGATCCTCTCTGTCCCACTTCTTCAAACATCAGGCCCACTGCCTAGGGATTTCACAAGGATGTTCAGAACTCCCTGCTGCAGTCTGGTTCGGAGCACTCCCCTAACCCTCGCCCCACCCCCTCACGCACATGCCTGGCTCCTTGCCCAGCATTCTGCAGCTGGCTTATTCACTGTCCAGAAATATTGGCCAGAGTGTCCCATTCAACCCCATCTCTTTTTCCTAGTCTTGGTCTTTATAGCTATTGGAGTTTGTATTTTTTGCCAGGTGACACAAGGGTCCTGGAGACATCTGTGTTTTTAAACCAGCATCCCAGGCTTGTTCTTTCCTGCCATTTGTGTCATTGTTGGTCGGAGTTACACCCAGAAATTACAAGGTAGAAAATCCAGCTCTAATTCCAATTTTATTCCCCAGGAAGGCCTGGTGGGGGGAGGAAGGGAAGGAGAAAGGCTCAGGTGCCCTTGTAGGAGGAGCCAAGGCAGAGCTGGGCTGTGTCAGGACCCATGTGCCTTGTAGGACCCCATAAGCACCACAAAGGCGAAGGAATCCGGTCACCCCTCAAGACTGTAGGGACAGGCGTGGAGGGATGAAGTCTGTGGCCGCAGCTGGTTGCTGTCCCCACAGCAGGACCCCATCAGTGTTATCTCTGGGCCTGTGACCTGGCACAGGTGTAGTGATTCTCAGAACTCCCAACTTTTCTGAGGTGAAATCCAAAGTCCACGGGGTGCTTGAGCACCTTTCTCTTTTCAAGGAGGCTTTAGCCCTAGGATGTCTGCTACTCTGAAGATGGCCCAGGACCACCTTCCAAACCCTTCGAATTTGCCCTGCTGGCTTACGGGAGCTGACACAGCCAGCGCAGGGGCCAGGAGCGCAGGCTCTGCGGCGCTCACCATAGCTCTGGGTGTCACGCCAGTCTGAGCTGCTGTTGCAACTTTTTTCTTCTGATCTGTCTTCACTTAATAAGACAAAGCAGAAAATAAATGAAGGGCCACCAGCTGGCTTCATTCACTTCCGGCCTCCCTGGTCTCTGTGCACTGTGCCCTTCCAGGGACAGGGTGGGCCTGGTGCT